AGTGACACTCGGACAGCAGCTGATGCAATGACAGCGCTGTAGGATGTTGTGGTAGGGTGACTCACAGCAGCAACCTTGTTTCTTTTCTCACATGAAAAAAGAATTTTCATGCGGACAAACTCTCATTGGCAAAGCAAGATTTATTTAAGGAGAAGAGGGAAAGAAGCTCCTGTCCCAGTGACAGAAGAAAAGGGACCCGGTGAGCTTAGTATTTTTTTATACACCATTCTAATTTCGGTACTTCAAAGGGGTAACGGAGAAAAGAAATAATAATAATAATTAAAAAAAAAAACCACCTGCTTGTATTGGCCAGTAATGTTTACCTAAAAACAAAAGGTGAGACTCTTAGTTTCCTGAGGTTGAAGACAAAACAAACATTCCTTTGACAGTGACCAAAGTGACAGGTCTGGTCAGTCTGCTTGTTTTAAGAAATGGGAATTGATGTATTGATTCTGTCCTCTTGTTCTCTCCGCAGAGGGAAGACTTCCTTCCGGAAGGGTACGGGGTAGGAGAAAGCCCTGTTCTTTTGCATTCTAAAAGTGTTGGGCCCAGCACCCCGTAGCCTAGTGACTACAGTCCTCCTATGCACGCCCGGGATCCCATATGGGCACCGGTGCGTATCCTGGAATCCTCTCCCAGGTCTCCCACTTGGGTGCTGTGTCCCAGGGATTTGGGCCATCCTCGGCTACTTTCCCAGGCCATAAGCAGGGAATTGGAAGGAAGCGAAGCAGCTGGGATACAAACTGCTGCCCATATGGGATGCCAGCGCTTGCAAGGGGAGGATTAGCTAATTGAGCCACCATACTGGGCCCTTTCACTTTTTAAAGACTTACTTTGCCAGGGGGCAATGATGTCTGGGGGTTTCCATGATCTGGGCAATTGCACTCAGAGGTAGGTGAAGGGACTGAGACCAGGTGGCTTAGAGGAGGGCAACTGCAAGGCGTGTCTGGGTCAGGCCACAGCACCTGTCCACATGGGAGAACTGGGGCTGGGCTAAGGAGCATCATCCACCACCACTGGCACATGTAAAAGCTGAGGCTGGGGGTATGCCCGGCCAGGCTAGGCCACAGGACCTTCTTACAAGTGTCAGGGCAGGGGCTGGGCCATGTCAGGCAGGGCTGCAGAACCCATCAAGATGTGAGAAAATCAGATCTGGGAGCAGATTCTGCAGGGCATTTATGGGCTCTCCTCTGTGGGACTGCAGCACCTGCCATTTCACATGAGAGCTGGGGGTGGTGATGGGCTTAGTCAGGTTGGACCACAGAACTAACACTCACTGGAGCCCAGGGCTGGAAGGAGATGGGCTGGGCCAGACTGCAGCACATACCAGCACATGCAAGACCAGAACGGAGGGCAGACCATGTCTGGGAAGGCACAGTACCAGCTGTTACACATGAGATTCGGGGCTGGGAGCAGTACTGGTAGGAAAACTTGGGGAACTCCCTTGCTAGACTCTATCTCCCTCTGGTGAGTATGAGAGCCAGGGATGGGGGTAGGCCAGGCCAGGCTGTGCCGCAGCACCTGTTGGCATACACGTGTGCTGGGTTTGGGGGCAGGCCTGGCTGGGCCAGTCCACAGCACACAAGAGCATGAGCAAGAGCATGCAGACCAGGCCAGGTTGGACTGCAGTACTCACCAGTTCACATGAGGGCTGGAGCTAGGCTGCTGTATCTGCTGACAAATGCCAAGAACGGGCAAACCATCTCCGACTGGGCTGCAGCACCAGCTGGAATGTGCAAAACCCGGACTGGGAATGGGAACTTCAGACACTCCCCGGCTGGGCTGCTGCTTCCACCTGGTCAGCGAGAGCTAGGACTCGGGGTTGGATCATCCAGGTAGGGCTGCAGTACCTATTAGCTGGCATGTGGGCTGGGACTGGGGATGGGCCAGACTGAGTAGGGCCACAACACCTGCTGGTGAATGCTGGGGCTGGGTACAAGTCATTCAGGATACACCACAATGCCCTCTGGCAGGCATAAGATCTGGGGCTGGGAATGGGCCTGGTGGGAGGAAGCATGGGCACTCCCTGGTGGGATTACAGCCCATGCTGGTAAGCTAGGGCAAGGCTCTTCTCCACATCAGAAACTTTAGAGTGTCGTCCAATGACCATTCCCTTCCTTGAGTGCTGAGGTAGTTTGACAGCAGGAAGTGCCCCCCACCTTCTGCACCTGCAGATGCAGGAGGAAAAAAAAAACCTGAAATAATTTTATTTACTACCTTCCTTAATACCTTGACTTTCAACACCTTAATCAGAAGTTCATGGGCATGTCTCCCTCTCAACTATTTAAACAATATTAAAAATTAGAATTAAAATAAAAACTAGGAAGTTATTTTTAAGGTGCATGTGAAGAAAGTTTTTTGCTTATAATTATACATACATGCAGACTTGTAAATCAGATTTTATATACTTTGGAAGATTTAAAAATAAAGATGTTTATAAATTGAATGTTTTTTGGCTAATGAGTTATTTTAAATGATGTTTCAACTTCTTATTTCAAAGCAGATTTATGGATTTTTTAAAATCATTTTTTCAAAACAAAAAGCCACCAAGGCTACCACCAGGTGGCACTAAAATCTAATAAAAATTCAATTCCAGGCTGGCCTTTAAGGAGTGAGGAGCCGATTTACAAGGAGATGCTGGGGCAAAAGCAAAAACAACAAAGCCCTTCCAAACAAACAATTTAGAATGTGAATTGGAAACAGGTTAGTATCTCTGTCTCAAAGTCGCTTTCCCTCTTTCAGTGGGGTGAGTATGTGATCTGTCACGCCAGGAATAAACATGTTAATAGTTCTTACAGTGATTCGTTGTCATCACACTTCTTTCAGTGGCAAGGTTTTCTGGAGGGTAAGGGAGGAGACTGCAGGGCACCTGACCTAGTTTGGAAAAGTTGTTCTGGGAGGGGAGCAGTCTTTTGAGGGCCAATCCACCAAGTTAAATGTTCTGAGAGGGAAGGGTTTGAGAAGGAGAGAAAGAGAGAGAGAGAGAGAGAGAGAGAGAGAGAGAGAGATCATGAGAAGTTGCTGCAGAACACAGATTTTTCTATTTGTTTACTTTGGCATATTTGCCAACTGTGTATTTTTAGAAATTATTGTGTTGCTGAGATTCAAGATAGGAACAGCTCATAATTTGTCTGAAAATCAGGAAATCAGTGAATTTAATCCCTCTTCCTGATTCTTTTGTACTTCAGTGTTTTTTTTTAAACTTTGTTTCATGTTTTCAGAATATTTGAAGTTGAAGGACATAGCCAAGATTCCCAAGCTATATTAAGACCAAGGAAAGCAATGTTAACAATACATCTATTTAAAAAAAAAAAAAAGGCGAGTAAAAGAAGAAAAATCCTGCCAGATGAGATTTTCCTAGTAGCCTAAGATTTTTTTTTTTAAGTTTCCAGACTGGCGTCCTAAACCAAAGATTAAAACTATCTATTTTTTTGCTGATCAATTGGTTCCTTAGGTTTAAAAAACAAGACACACTCCCTCAAAATATATTTTTTAAAAATCGGGGTGCTGTGGTGGAACCCGTGTGGTGGAACCCTTCTGGTTCTTCGAGCGAGGTGTCCCCAGGCAACCTGACCAGTTCCTGTCAGGATGAACACACTCAGACGAGACTAACCTATGAATGGCCCCCCAAACACCAGCGGGGAGCCAGCTGCCTGCCTCTACTTGGTTCGGTGGGTTTTAAAGCAGACTCTGGAGCACTTCCTCCCTCGGCCCCGAAAGTTCCTGAACGTTCCCAAGTTTGCAGTAACTTGCCAGGTCTCCTCAGGGGCTGGTCACTGTGCTAACCTTCAGGCCGCTGCGACCCGACAAATCTTGGGGGGCTCCACCCACCTGCCGTCTAGGAATCCCAGGCAATGGCTCAGCGGGAAGCGGTGTATCACTCTGCTGACACCTGGCCTCCCGTGTCACTAGCCTGTCCATCCCGTGCGACCACACCAAGCCCTTCCCTCCCACTTGCCGCCTTTGTCCCAGCTGCTCCTCTGCCCACACCAAGGCCGCCCTGGCGCCGCCTTCTCACCTCTTCTGTCCCTGGCGGTGAGCTGCCAGGCCTCACCTCCCGCAGCCTCCCCGGGGCACGCGAACGCAGTCCTGCCGCTGATGGCATCTGGGACCCCAACTCACGCTGGCCCCCCGAGCTCAGCACCCCTTCCCACCCGTGGTCCTTTTCCCAAAGCAGACGGGCCTCCCCCCTTTCATTCATTGTCCTGGGAAATCCTGGGAGGGTTGGACGGCTTGGCCCAGGTTACGGTTAGCCTCCCATTCTATGGATTCAAGGCCAGGTTAGAGGAGGGAGGCCCAGCTGGGAGGCCAGGCCACCTCCGAAAGAAAAGAACAAACCTTTCAGTTTTGGAAACAAGTGTGTGTGTGTGTGTGTGTGTGTGTGTGTGTGTGTGTGTGTGTGTGTGTGTTTACTTAAAAACAAAACCAAGTTCCCAGAGCCGTCCCTCCCCCTCCTCAGGTCCGACCACCCTCCCGGGAGTTTGCCCGCAAGCCGATAGTTCTGCCTAGGAAGTGGGTGCCGACACCATCCCGTTTTTATCCTTCACCCCCTTCCCCAGCCAATCGCTGCCCCGTCTAGGCAGCGCGGGCTCCAGGCGGCGAGCCCCTGGGCCTCTGGCACAGCGGCCGCGGCCACCTCAGCCGGGGAGCCGGGGCCACCTCAGCCCCGCAGCACTGGGGCCACCTCAGCCCGGGAGCCGGGAGCCGCGGCCACCTCAGCCCCGCAGCACTGGGGCCACCTCAGCCCGGGAGCCGGGAGCCGCGGCCACCTCAGCCCCTGCAGACTCCCGCGCAGACTCCCCAGCGCCGCCTCTCCCAGCCCGGCGGCCAGGACCGTCAATCAAGCCCGTGCAGCCCCGCCTCCGGGCAGCAGCGGGCGGCCAATCCGAGCCGAGCTCCGCAGCGATGAGCTCAGCCGGCTCCCTTCCCATTGGGCGGCTATATTAAGAAAGTGGCCGGACTCTTTAAATAGCGGGCGCTAGGGCCGCAGCCCGCATCTGCCACCGCAGTCTGGCCGTACCCGTCTGCGCCCTTAGAGTCACGGCGAGGCCCCGCGGGACCCGGGAGGCAGCTGGGCCGGCACAGCGCAGCTCCAGCGTCCGTTGTTGCGCACAAAAGCAGCCGACCCGCGCCCGGGGTGCGAGCTGCCCCCGCCGTCCGCGAGTCAGCGCGGCTGCACGCGCCGTGCGCCTTATGCCCCCGCGCCCCCGCCGCGGCAGCCCGAGCGTCCCGAGAGATCGCGCCATCGCGGGGCCTGGGTGCAGCTAGCAACCCTCGGCCCCTCAGCGCGCAGCCGGACGTGAGCGGTGAGCGGCGAGCCGGACGGCAGCGAGGCGCTCGCGGGCCCCTTCCTGCTGCCCGGGCCCGGCCCGCTCATGGCGGCCATCCGTAAGAAGCTGGTGGTGGTGGGCGACGGCGCGTGCGGCAAGACGTGCCTGCTGATCGTGTTCAGTAAGGACGAGTTCCCCGAGGTGTACGTGCCCACCGTCTTCGAGAACTATGTGGCCGACATCGAAGTGGACGGCAAGCAGGTGGAGCTGGCGCTGTGGGACACGGCGGGCCAGGAGGACTACGACCGCCTGCGGCCGCTCTCCTACCCAGACACCGACGTCATTCTCATGTGTTTCTCGGTGGACAGCCCGGACTCGCTGGAGAACATCCCCGAGAAGTGGGTGCCGGAGGTAAAGCACTTTTGCCCCAACGTGCCCATCATCCTGGTGGCCAACAAGAAGGACCTGCGCAGCGACGAACACGTCCGCACGGAGCTGGCGCGCATGAAGCAGGAGCCGGTGCGCACGGACGACGGCCGCGCCATGGCCGTGCGCATCCAAGCCTACGACTACCTCGAGTGCTCCGCCAAGACCAAGGAGGGCGTGCGCGAGGTCTTCGAGACGGCCACGCGCGCCGCGCTGCAGAAGCGCTACGGCTCCCAGAACGGCTGCATCAACTGCTGCAAGGTGCTATGAGGGCCGCGCCCGGCCGCCTACCCCTTACCGACGCCCCCTCCCGGGCCGGTCCCCTGCGAGCCCGGAGAAGGGGAGGCCCGCGCCCATCACCAGGGACCCCACCAGTCTGCCTGGCGTCTGCGGCGCCGAGAATCGCGTGGGCATCGGGCGCCCCCTTCTCAGTGTCTGTGTGAGTCTAGCCGTGTGGCACAGGCCCGGGCGCCACTACTGAGTGCTAAGGGTCCCCCTGGACATCCTCTTCTGAGGAGCCAAGCCTCAAGACTGTTTGACTGCGTGTACGTTCGACTGCCCCTCGCCATCATTTTCACACCACTCCCCTGCCACCTCGGGTCCCCAGGGGGTGCGAGTGCGACCGCGCCCCATCAGATGTTCGCTGGGACCCCGCGAGCGCCTGCCATGTCTTGTTTGTAACATAGACCCTGGGAACTGCGGGAGGGAGGGCGGGGAGGAGGGAAGGGTGTGCTATAAATACAGATCTAATTTTATTTTCGGAGGAGAGATGGTGTTATTTAATGGTAGTGGTGGGTGTAGTGGCCAGGGCGTTGGAAGAACTCTGGCCCAGGCCGGCTCAGTTGCCCACCCAGGCATGAACAGGACTTGGCCATCTTTCTGACCCCTCGGGAAGACATTTGCAACTGACTTGGGGCTGAAGGGACACAGCTTCTAGACACAGAGTCTCCTGCGGGCCAGCCCCATAGCGAACCCCTCTGCAGCTGGCGGAGGGAGAGTGTGCGTGGGGGCTGTTTTTGCCATAAGTGAACTTTGTGCCTGTCCTAAAAGTGAAAACTGTTCAGTCCAAGAAACTGATGTTATTTGACTTATTTAAAAGCTGAAACTTTTTTTTGGGGGGGGGGAAGAATCCTTTGCACAGTTTCATTGTTTGACACTTAATGCACTTGTCATTTGCATAAGGCAGTAGCATTCTGTATGCTGTAACCTCATCTACTTCTGATTTTTTTTTTTAAAAAGAAGAAATGATGACTTTAAAACAGGAAGAACAACACCCTAGTAATTTTTCCTTTGTTTTCTTGAACAAAGTGGCACCACTGTTTTGAGATTTTGTTTGTGCAGGTTATGCACACGGTTTTGATCAGAGACCTAACACGTGTTGGGGCCTATTTAAGACTTTTTTTCTTTTGCCACAAGGTAGCCTCTCCAGCTATGTGAAGTTTTCTCTGCATCTCTACACAGAGAATACACCTGCCCCTGTTTGTCCTTCCCCCCTTCCTGCCTGGTGGTACTTCTACTAAATTGTTGTCTTGGTTTTTTTTTTTTATTTTTTAAATAAACTGACAAATGACAAAGTGGTGAGCTTATGATGTTTACATAAAAGTTCTATAAGCTGTGTATACAGTTTTTTAATGTAAAATATTAAAAGACTATGATGATGACATTTATAAAATGGCTCTTGTGGTTTGATGCTCTGTAATGGTGTCCTCTATCCTAGTGAGTGTGGGACGAGGAAAGAAAGCCTTACTGGTGAGCGACTCCTCTTCCCCAAGTGGTAACTGTAATTGAGGATGACCGGAGGGGGACAAGGGGTAGAGTTGTTGCTGTCACATTTCCAGAGGCAGCTGAGCCGGTGGGTTCATTCAGGCCCCCAGAGCAAAACCCCCGGGCCTAATGATTGTGTACTCAGGCCAATTCGCTGAGGCCAAAGGTCCTGGTTTTGTCCTGCTCCTAAAACCACTGTTGTCTCTTGGGCTCTGCTGCTTTGGAACTTGCAAAGCTGTCATTCATGCATTCCTGATTTAGGTGATAGTTTTGGAAGGTGGGTCAGGCTGGTTACTGGGGGTTGGGGGTGCCTTCTGGTTCTGCAGGGGTTGGTTACATACCACCTTGAAGAGTTGCTTTGCTCTGGATAATGGGAAACGTTTCTTATGGAACTTTGATGAGAAGGTGCAGCGACCTGGAGCCTACCATGCTTTGAGAAGGGGGTGCAGGAGCCATGGCCGCAGTGGTGATAGTGGTGGTGGTAGTAAAAGTTGGAACAGCACGACTTTGGGAACCTGTTGCTATGAGCTCACTCTAATTTCAGACACTGAGACTTACTGCAGTGGTTCTCGGAATAAGACAGGCTGACTTACTCCTGGAGACCACATTAAAATCCTGCTGCAGGCACGGGTGCTCAGACCTGCCTAGCGGCTTCCCGGGGCAGGTGGCGCTGGCCTCTCCCACTGTTTTGGTACCAGTGCTTTCCGGGTCCATGGGCGTTTTCTGGGCCTCTGTGCCCAGCTGCCATCCTCCCCTACCTCCTAGCCAGGGCTGACGTAGGGGAGTTCCCTTTTGAAGTTGTCTGCTTAAAAGCTCCTTTTTCCCTCTTTCCTGAGGTTTTCCAAGCGTTCTTGTTGAGCGAAGAAAACCTGTTTGGTGGTGACCTTTCACCCACTTAGCAGGCCCTGACGAGGCTGCCTGCTCGACCAGGCGGCAGGGGGAGGGCCAACAGAGCCGGATTGTTTGGGCTCCTCCAGGAGCTGAGCCAGAGAGGCTGGCTCCCAGCTCGCTGCTGCTTTGAGCAACAACCCCACTCTTTCTTGGCCCTTGGCTCCACTCACCTCCATCCCATAACCTACTTAAGACAAAACTTCCCATTGAAGCACGATGTTTATTTGTGAGTTCTTGCAGCTAGCAAATCCTCTGGTACCAGGGAGTACAGCCCTGGTCTGGGGAGCGCTCTGGCCTGGGCTCAATGCCAAGGATTCAGCTGTGCCATCAGCAGGAGCCAGGAGATCTGGGCTCCTGAAAGGGCCTTGCTAGCTTTCCTGCTTTTAGATTTTGGGGAGACAGCCACCCACCAGAAGATACAGGGCTGCCTGGTGATTTCACTGCAAGCCCTTTCATTCCCTTGCCAGAACACAGTCGTTTTACCGGAAAAGAGAAAAAGTGAGTTGCTGCAGACTGGAAAATCAATTAGGGGAAAGGAGGTAAAACATCTGGTGGGATTCTTAGAATATGAAAATTCATTTTGTGCATTTAAAAGAAATGTGCTGAGCTCCTTTAGTTGCCCGCTGAAATGTTTCGTGGGAAATCCTGGGACATTTCATTGATCTGGGGCATTTTATAGCAAGGGTCATTGTCTTGGGTTTTCCTTTCATCTTGGTCTGAGATCAGTATGGGTTGTGTTTCTGAGATCTTGTGCACATGTGTTTAAACAGACTTAGAATGGGATGTTGCAAACGGAAGTTCGATCAGAATCGTGTACTGGGCTGGGATGGCTGGGCCCAGCCTGAGCATGTCTGATGGGCTGAGGGCTTGAGACTTTGGATTTCTGGGCTTCTAGGTCCCAAGGGATGCTGAGGTTCTGGTTTGGGGAGCACACTGTGGAAAGTGCAGGCTTAGCCTGAGGGAGACTCTCCTCCAGGAAGGTAGATCCAACTCCGCAGTCTTGGCTGCTCTGCCTTAAGGAATACAGAACTGTCTAAGAGTTTTCCTTCTCTGCTAAGCCACGCTTAACTTCTATCTTCTCTTCCCCACTTTGTTCTGCAGAAAGGAACTCAAGTTCCTCTGCAGCTCATTAAGCCCTGGCCCCTACTTGGTCAACTCTGATGAGGCAGAGATAAAAAGCTGGTGAAAAACAGTCGGTCTTTCTTCAGTCTTTGGGAGCTGCTTCCCAGCAGGCTGGCCCGGGCTGCTGCAGGAATGCAGTCCCCAATACCTGGAATATAGCTTGCTCTGACAGAGCCGTAGGCATGCAAGGGTCAATGGATGCCTTGAGCAAGAATGCCTCAGTTTCCCTGCCACGTGGGAAAGCTGTCTTGAAGGAGGAGACATTTGAGTCTTAAAGGAAAAGTGGATGATTTGTGAATGGTGGGAATCTTGGAGGAAAGGCAGGGTAGGCAATTGTGACCACATTGTTAATGGCCCAACTTTTGTTTTATTGAGGTTTCCTGGTCTCGGTGAATAAAATTCTCTTAGGTGAGAACTTCTGGAGCGTTCAGTCTCTAGAATATCTAACCCAGTAATTATAATGAAGACAACAATGGCTACCATCCAATGCTAAGCCCATTATCTGTATTATTTTATTAAATCCTGGTACTACTTTTCTATGGCTACATAATAAGTTATCCCAAACCTCGTTGGCCTCGTCAGCATATATTACTTCGTAATCTCTGAGTTGGAAATTCAGGCACAGCCTCTCTGGGTCCTCTGGCTTGTGGCCTCTGGTAAGGCTGTAATGCAGGTTTTGGCTGGGGTTAGCTGGTGGAGGGTCTGCTCCCAGGCCAGGCAAGTGGCTGCTGGCAGGACAGCCTCATTGCCTGAGGCCACCCCCAGTTCCTTGCTGTATGTGGCTCACCACATGTTGCTCACAACGTGGCAGCTGGCGTCATCAGGGTTGATAGAGGAGAAGGAACAGAGAGCATGTGAGCAGGTACCAAGTCTGTGTTTTTGAAAAAAACAATTTACAGGGTCAGGCATTGTGGTGCAGTGTGTTAAGCTGCTGTTTGGAATGCTCCTATTCCATACCAGCGTGCCAGTTGGAGTTCCCACTCTTCTGCTTCTGCTCTAGCTTCTTTCCGATGCATCCTGGTGGCAGCAGGTGGTGGTCCAAGTGCTTGGGCCCTGGGAGTGCTAGACTCCCAGCTTTGGCCTGGCCCAGCCTGCGCTACTGTGGGCCTCTGGGGAATGGCTCAGTGGATGCAAGTGCATGTGTTCTCTCTTTGTTTTTCAGGTAGACAAAAATAAACCCAAAATCTATTTACGTATTTTTATTTTTTAAATCTGAAAAGCAGGAGAGGGAGAGAGAGAGAAATTCTCCACCCTCGGGCTCTGTTTGTAAATGCCTGCCTCAGTTAGGACTGAAGCCAGGAGCTCAGAACTCTGTGGGATCCCCTGTGCGGGTAGAAGAGACCTGCCCACCTGAGTCCCAGCTGCTGCCCCCAAGGTGTGCGTTAGCATGAAGCTGCAATCAGAAGAGGAGCTGGGACTTGAACCCCAGCATTTGAAAACGAGCTGTGGGCACACGAAGCAGCACCTTAACCACTGTGCCAACTTGCCCCGCAGGACTCAGTCTTTTACAACTTAGTCTTGGAAGTGATCGTCACTCATTTCTACTGGATGGAATTTTTCTCTTTTTTTAAGAAGCAACCAAATGGGGGTGACCCCAGGGCACATGCAGCAGGAGGTAGGCTCATTGGGAGTCATTTTAGAAGTAGTAAGCCACAGCTGGGCTGGGCTAGGCTGTAGCCCCCTACCACCGGGAGCTGGAATTGAGGGTGGGTTGGGCCTGGCTAGGCTACAGTGCCCACTGGCAAATGCCGAAGTGAGGCTGGCCATGCTAGACTGGGCCGCAGTGCTCAACCAGCACACATGAGACCAGGGAGTGGGTAAGGGGGTGAACCCAGTAGCGGGGCTGCATGGGGCTCCCCAACTGGACAACCACTCCCACTGGACAACATGAGAGTTGGGATGGGGGCAGATAGGGTCAGGCAGGGCCATAGCACCTGTAGACCTCATGTGAGCTAGACTGGGGAAAGTCAGGCTGGGTCAACTGTTCTTACTGGTGCATGCATAAATCAGAGTGGGTTGGTTGAGCTTTGCCGCAGCATCAGCTGGCAGATGCTGGCACTAGGGGCTAATTCTGTCAAGTTAAACTGCAGAACCACCTGGAGAGTACAGGATCTGGGAGTAAGAGTGGGCCCATTAGAAAAACACTGGGCACCTCCCTCTTGGGTTAACACTGTCACTGGAGAGCATGAAAACCAGGACTGGGGCAGGCATGGCTAGACAGAGTGGCACCTGCCAGCACATGTGTGGGCTGGATAGCGGGGCTGGTTGGGTTGAACTAGGCTTCAATGCCCATTGACAAGTTTGAGAGCTGAATGGGATGTGGGACAGACTGGGCCAGTCTGCTGTGCATACTGGCAAACACAGGAACCAGGACAGGAGGCAGGCCTGGAAGGGGTTATTGTGGGTCGCTCCAACTAGGCTGCAGCTCCCACTGGTTTGTGTGAGGGCTGAG